GCTCTGATGGCAGAGTTGGTCCTGAGGAGTAAAGACAAATTCTTGTTTCCTCCAAGCCGGGCAAATTCCTCTCAAACTTGTGCTCTGTGAGGACACTAGCTCATGGCATTAAGCTTTTGATAGCTAATGTTTGGCGGAAATGCCTGAAGACTACCAGGTGTTGGCTCCTACACTCCACCCATTATCTTATTGATAGATGGTACTGGGAATTTCAGCAGAACTTAATCTATGCTATGAATTGAGCAGTGCCAGGTAGTATTTAAATAATAAAACTCAAAAAGCTACTCTGACATACCATTAAAATCTTCATAGGCAATTTTAGGAGACCAGAAACTCTGTTTCAGAAAATTCTCAGACCCAGTGTAGGAGTTAGAATGGACTCAAAACTGATTCCAGTAGATAGCTTGCTAATCTGTTTAGGAGGTAAAATATGTTTAAGTGAAAGGATGAAGGCTGTGCAACATAGAAGAGTGCTGAAAAACAGCCCAGGTTGTGTTTATTAGCCATGTGTACAAAGGAAATTACAAAGGAAGGGAGGGAAAGGAAATCTGCAAAGGAAAGGCCTTCTGAAAGACCGCCACGAACCTGAAAAATTAAAGCGAAAGTGAAGGCTTGTGTCTTTATCAGGGCTTGTTTTTCCTCTTCTGGATCTGCTAGATCTGACTATTTTCTTCCCTTTTTCTTTCTGCCTTATGTTGGAAAAACTAAATGAAGACGGAAATCATTATTTTTTCCAGTAATCTGTTATAAATATGTTTAACTAGAATTTTCTACTATCAGTTCTTTTAAAACTGTTTTTTTTTTACCTAAGCATATGCTTAGTGAAATCGAAGATAGTTAAAGCATTTTAAGAAAGTCATACTGCATTATTTTTGTTAATAATACTTTTAGATTAAATAAAATTTAGTTCTGAACAGCCAAATGATTAACCAGTCATAGCCTGTTATGCTATGGTGTGGTGTCTGTTGCTGGGGTGTGAATGTCAGGGTCCTCCCCAAAACTGGTGGGCATGGGGTGCACATGTTATCACCAGCAAACTTCAAGCTGGACTAGCCTGCAACTCAGGGACCTGTGGGGCAGGCAAGGGAGTCAAAGCAAGTACAAATAAATGACAATATAAGTAGTGTGAGAGATAAATTTTTTGGAAACTAGAGGACTGTCAGAGGTAAAGGACTCAACATGAACACTTGGTGTAACAAGAAAAGGGAGAAATGTAGTTTTACCTCTGTAAACTGACATTGTTTCCATTTCTGGCATCTACATTTTCTGATGAAGTAGAAATAACAAAAAGATTTCAAACAAAAAACTCCAAATGTAGTAAAAGAATTGGGAAAAAAATTAAGTTATTAAAGTTTAGTCTACTCAATTTCTCTAAAAAGGGTTTTGAAATAACTTGACAAGTATGTTGGACATGGAGAAGATCATTGATTATGTGAGGATTTTAAGTTTTTAAGGGAAATTCATAGTAACATGAAGTGGTTGGAAAGTGAAATTGGGCAAAGTCCACCATGAACACAGCATTTCCTAGAAGTGCCAGCTGGCACTGGAAAACTGTACCAGGAGAGTGACCGAAACTCCATCACCTACCAATTCAGGAAAAAAAATGAGATAACTAAATAAAAGATTGGAAAAAAGCAAGACTGGACAGAAAAAGGGAAGAAAATCTAGACCAGCTGTAAAGTAAACATTAAATGCTGAGTGTGACCTGTAGTCAGTGTGATCTGTAGAGTGTGTGTAGACAGGCAGTTTCAGCTTCCTAGGGAGGTGGTCACTGTCCCAAGCCTGTCAGTGTTTAAAAGGCATTTGCATAATGCCTTTAACTTTTGGTCAACCCTGAATTGGTCAGGCAGTTGGACCAGATTGTCATTACAGATCCCTTCCAACTGAACTATTCCAATCTAGTCTATTTTACAGTCTCATGCAATGCTGCTAACATTGTATATTACTGTACCTACAATATATTCTATTGTATGTAGCCAAATTTTATGGTTAATACATCAGAACTAAATTATTCTACTGCCACGTCAGATTGCCTACAAAGAGCACAGTCTGTTATCACATTCATACATTTTCTTTGAATAAACATCTCTCATTCTAGATAAACAATCCCTGTGTAGTTGTTAGATATGGGCCTTTGCAAAAAGTCTGATGTTTGTTTCAGACCACAGCACAGTGAATTATTAAAGTAACTAAAATTTGTTTCCGCTTCTTAAGAATCTTCTTTACTGAACAATAATTACATTGGAAGTATGGATCTAAAAGAAAATAATTTAAAACTCCATGTATACACGAAATTATAATTTGAAATTATTTTGGAACTGAAAAGTTGTTTTTAATCATACACAAAACCTAAAATGACAGGACTAGGAAGCCTAACAGTTTCACATGAATAAAACTGTCTTCGAAGGTCTGCATACCTGCTGTGCTTACAAAAGTCAACATAGCTGCTGTGCACAATATTTTTTCCCAATTTCTTCAAGAGAGGGTTTGTACATACATAATGGCAGCTTTGGCAGTTTTATAGGAAAACGCACTGCTAATTTGGTGAAATAAACCAACTCCATATTCAGTAGCACTTTCTGTTTTCCAATGTGCCACTCCTGCACAATTCTAAGGTCTCTCTTCTCTATCCGACTCCCACTTTTTTCCTTCTATCTGTAATGTATAGGAAGATAATGCCTCTGAGATCTCCCTCTCTGTCTGCCACATCTAGATGAAATGGGCCAGCATCTTTTATTATTAGGAGAGGTTAGCAGGAAGACTTTTGTTCTCTTGCAGATAATGTGGTCATGACATTTGTTCCCTTAGAAAGACAGGCTAAAAGCAGAAACTTATCTACAACAAAATTTCCATTGCAATACAGTGTAATCAAGTTGAGAGCCAAAGAAAACCGGAGATAATCTTTTTGTACAGTTTATGATGTTTCATTCTACCAGGAATGGTTTTTTTGCATCACGAAATTGCATGACAGACATTATGTAGCTTTATGGTATTTGCTATTAAAATAAAAGATGTCTGAAAAAGGTGCGATTTGCAAACAACTAAGAACACTTAGGAATAGGATTCTATCAAACATAAAAACAATACATAAAAATAATTTAAATAATTTAAAATACATAATGTAACAAAAAGTAATTTTAAAAAAAAAAAGGTGTTCTTCAGGGGAGTAAAGAATTGTTATTATCTGCAAGGCTAAAGTTAATGGAGGACCTTGGTCTTTTCTTGTCCTTTTCTTATTCTGTCCTGTTGAATCCTCCTCATACTAAATGCTCAGGAACAGAAAGTAAAATACAAATTTGGCAGAATATAGATATTTTTCTATCTTCATTAGACACCAAACAAGTAGACAAAGCTTTTAGTGGATGTGGAACACAGGAGTGCCTTATTCTATATGAAATGGGCTGCCAGTTTATTTGTTTGATAAGAAATAGAAAAAAGTGGAAATTATAGCTCAGTGAAATACATAGGTTTCTTATGCAGTTTTAATTCCTGTTGCATATTCACACAGAAAGCTACTGAATTAATGCTGTAGTGTGTGTGTATGTCTGTGTTTAGGTAATATAACTAAGAATGGGAAGAGGGGGAATGGTTATGTATGGATAAGCTAATTATTTGGAAGACATTGATTTTCTCCAAATCCTTGTAGTCACTACATGAGATTTCTCATTAAATTGCAGGATTTGTGAAAGTAGATTGTTCATAAATACTACAGTCCTGCTTACCTCAAAATGCTCACAAAACTACCCTTTTCCAAGACACACAAAGTAAGCAATGACTTATTCCATTGTTAAAAACAGCTACGGACAGAAAAGAATGCTGGGACACTAAGGATTTTTATTCATCATCATCATGGCTAGACTTCATGAACAAAGATTTGGGAAGGACTCTACCTACACTTGCTACAAGTGCACTGGTGGCTAAAAAGCCCAATGCCAGATAGACAGGTCCGGTTGCAAAAGGCACAGCAGAAAGACTCCTTGGATGGTATCGACAGGACATGGTTCTTTCTACATTGTCTTTTCTCCTCAAGAGTGATCCTGCATGTGTTCTCAAAACAAGCAGCAGCATTATGGATAGTGTGTCTCCAGACCTCCCAACTGGAGTCCAGAGTAGACCAATGATGAAGATCAATATGGCCAAGGATGAGATGTTGTTTCAGGGAGTCCTTGTATCTCCTCTTTGGGGTTCCTCTCTTGTGGCAGCCAGTGGCAAGTTCACCATAGAGCAAGATCTTACGGAAGCGGTGGTCCTTCATCCTGGAGGCATGCCCTGCCAAACGCAGCTGTGTTCTCAGCAACATGGCCTCAATACTTGTGACTGCTGCTTGTTCTAGAACAGATGTGTTGGTCACATAATCTGACCAGTGGATATTTAGGATTGTGCGGAGACAGCGTTGATGGAAGTGTTCTAAGAGTCACAGGTGGTGGTGGTAAATGACCCATGATTCAGACCCATACTGTAGCACTAAACCTGCATTATATGGGAAAACTGTGGTTTAAACAGGTTTTAAAATGGCTTTTGGTGGTCTCTTTGCAAACACATGCTTCTTCTTCCCAGCACCCTCCATGTTATCCATGCAGGAATGTCCTAGGAAGGTATCCTGAGGTGTTTCCCATTGGCTTTTGTTAACTCCTTCCTGTGATTGGGTGTTCCTGTAAGCCCCTTGAGACTTCTAATTGGTTACTCTGTGAATCCTCCTAAACCCTATAAATGTAGCATCCCCAACAGTAAACGCTCTCTTGCCTCCTCTCCACGCCCGGTGTCCTGTCTCTGTGCCGGCCATGGGGCCACGTGTGGGGGGGGGGGAGGGAGGAGCACCTCTCCCCTCCAGGCTCAGGGCCTGAAAAGACCCCTGAGAAACCCCTGGAGTTCCCTTTCCCCATCCTTCAAAGCATCGCAATGGTTCTTCAGATGGAAACGGAACTAGAACTGGGCCGCCCCACGTCGTGGGTGGGGAAAGGGATCCAGACCATACAAAAGAGTAGACAGTACAATGGCTCTGTAAACACTGATCTTTGTACTTTTCTTCATGTGTTTATTTCGCCAAGCTCTTTTGTGGAGTTTTCCAAAAGCACTATATGCCTTTGCTAACCTGTTGTCTATCTCTTTGTCAATCTCACCGTCCGAGGAGACGATGCTTCCCAGGTAATTAAACTGTTGGACTGATTTGAGCTCTGATTTGCCAATGGTGATATGAGGATGATGGAAGACTTCCTGATGTGCAGGTTGATACAAAACTTCTGTCTTCTTCAAGCTGACTTTCAGCCCAAAAAGCTCAGCAGCCTCTGTAAAGCAGGATGTTAAATGCTACAGAGCTGCTTCTGTGTGGGATTTTTATTAACACAGTAATATTTATCATACCTGTCCAATTTTGAACATGTGCTCACATAAAAGAGCATTTTCTGCTTTACTAATGTAGCTAACTACAATGGTGAAGAGCAAAGGCTCTTAGATCAATGTTTGTTTTCTAATATATAGCAGGTTATTAAACACGTGCTCTAAAGTAACTGGAGTATGACATGCAGCTCCATTAGATGTGTGCAATAAATAGAAGATATTATAAAAGGAGATTTACAGAATCTATTACTATTTTCTGCTGGAGAGAAATATAAAATGAAGTCCTAAAGGGGACATATGATAAGGAATTGAATACTAAAAAAGATTGCTTATAAAGCACTTTGCTCCCTAGGGGTCCAGCTTAAAGCAGGCCAAGCTGAGGACAATGAAGAGCAGATATAAAAAGTGCTTAAACCTTAAGAAAGCATAAAAGGCCATTATGTGGATGGATATCTTATAAACCGAGTAGCTGCTTTACAAAATCAACAAAGAAAAAGAAAGATCTGGAAAATAATAAAAAATTAAAGACACATTATTTTGCTCATCATGAAAAATTCAGTAAAAGGAGTATTGCCTAGTGAAACAAAGGTAATTCAGAAAGTATGTGTGATTTATCTTTGCCAAACCAGTTGCAGCAACTGACAAAAATCCGTCCATTTTTCTTAGACTGTAAGCTTGCTGCAGGCATTGCCAATAAGTCCTGTCATTACTTTTGACATCACAAGTATGTGCCTTGCGACCCAGCAACCAAAGCATAAATACAGTTTACTACATAGAGTTCACAATCTGCATCTCACCTATGCAGTCAGCAATGTTCATTTCAGAGAGCAAAAACACTTAGGAAGGTGAGGCTGTATGAGTGTCTGAACACATGAATCAGAAAAAAAAAGAAAACTGAAGAAAAATGTCCAAAGTACAAATATTCCTGTCCTACCTCTTAGTTTTGATCACATGTTTCAGAGTTATAAAAAGCACTGACAATATCTGAAACTATTGTGAGGTAAAAGAACAATATGATTATTTAATGTCTGACCTCTGTCCCAAAGCATTTGATCATATTTTACAGATTTTGGATCTGAACCTACAAGCTGTGCTGCAGATCGGTGTATCATGCAAGCACAAAAAAAATATCTCTGCAAACTCACAGGTAGACCTGACCTGGTGAAATTGAGCTGCTATACAGACATGTACTTATTTTGTCATGCAAAAGACTACGAAATTCTTGCATCATATCTTCAGAGATTAATTCTGCTAGCTGGAAACATTTCCATTCCAAATTGTTCACTTTTCCCTCAACTCTTGACAGAGAACAGTCAGGTAAACACTCCTACTCCAGTATGGGGTAGTTCAAACTAACATCCACCCATCCATCCATCCATCCTCTTCTCCCCCCCACTTAATCATAAATCATACACAGCAGGCTCCCCAGGGAAGCAATCACAGCACCAAGTCTGTCTGCGTTCAAGAAGCATTTGGAGAATGCTCTCAGGCACAGAACTCTTGGGAATGGTTCTGTGCAGGAACAGGAGTTGAACTCAGTGATCCTGGATGGGTTCCTTCCAACTCAGCATATTCTATGATTCTATATGAAGTGATAAACTACTCTGTGTCAGAGGGGAATAAAACACTGTAAGCAGAAATAATATCACATCTCTTGCAAACTGAATATTTGTCCATCCCTTCTATAAATACAGTCTTCTAAAGGTTTGAACAGACTTTCAGGTCTTCGACCTATTCCAAAATGAGTTTGGAGCAGAGTTTTTTCCCTCTTGATTGAGAAGCTAGCATTCAGAACAGCTAATTCATGAAACTTTGCAGAAATGTATGCTATTGAAATTTTATGTATCTGAAGGCTGTAAGAAAGCTTGTACATGCAATTTAGGCAATCAGGCACCCTTTCAAACTGATGAATGTTTAGTCCTTTTCAGTAAAACTCTAATGATTTTTAAACTGTGAAATTATAGTATACATTTCTTATCTTCCTATCCCATTCTTTACTACATCAGTATACAGAGTTGCTGTTTTTGAGGGCTTTTTTTGGCTGTTTTTTTTTCCTGCCTTTTTTTGTTTGTTTGTTTTGTTTTGTTTTTTAATTTCAACAGGAGTATGCTTGCTTCATCCTCAAGATGAAACAAACATTTATTAGAGCACATTCCAGGACAAAGTTTAGTCTATATTCACTTCTACAATCTTAAAGACTTTGCAATAGGGGTAGACAGTAGTCCACTAATGTTGGACATTTCTTCTGATCTATTTGTCAATAACTTGTGTCCTGGCACCTTAATTTCTGCTACCTGACTAACAATTTTTTCCTCTGTTATTGTGGAACTATTCCATACCATGGAATCATAAATTTGTTAAGGTTGGAAAAGACCTTTAAAATCATTAAGTCCAACCATTAACCCAGCACCACCACCGTGCTCAGCATTAAACCATGTCTTCAAGTGTCGCATCCACACATATTTTGAATGCTTCCAGGCATGGTGACTCCACCACTTCCCCAGGCAGCTTAATTCAATGCTTGACAACACTTTCAGTGAAAAAAATTCTCCTAATATCCAGTCTAAATCTTCCTGGTGCAGAGAGGCCACTTGAGGCCACTTCCTCTCTCTCATCCTGTCACTTGTAATCTGGGAGAAGAGACCAACCTCCACCTGGCAACAACCTCCTGTCATGTAGTTGTACAGTGTGATGACGCCTCCCCTGAGCCTCCTTTTCTCCAAGCTAAACCCCAGATCCCTCACCTGCTCCTCATCAGACTTGTGCTCAGACCCTTACCCAGCTCCACTGGCCTTCTCTGGACTTGCTCCAGCACCTCAGGGTCTTTCTGGCCTGGAGGGGCCCAAAAATGAACAAAGCACCTGAGGTGTGGCCTCAAAAGTGCCCAGTACAGGGGGACAATCCCTTTCCTGCTGGCCATACTATTTCTGATCCAAGCAGGATGCCATTGGCGTTCTTGGCCACCTGGGCACATGCTGGCTCATGTCCAGCTGGCTCTGGTCCAGCACCCCCAGGTCCTTTTCCCCTGGGCAGCTTTCCAGCCACTCTGTCCCCAGCCTGTAGCACTGCCCAGGGTTGTTCTGACCCAAGGGCAGGACCCGGCACTTGGTCTTGTTGAACCTCATGCAATTGGCCTCAGGTCATTGATCCAACCTGTCCAATCCTTCAGCAGAGGCTTCCTGCCTTCCAGCAGATCAATACTCCCTCTCAGCTTCATGTTGTCTGTGAATTTGCTGAGGGTGCCATCCTGAAATGACAGGAGAAAAAAGGGAGAAGCTCATCAGAACACAGCCAGTCTGAAGAATCAGCACAATGAACTAGCAAAACTAACCTGACATTTTTAGAGAGTTTAATCAGTAGCTCATAGGCCTGTGTCACAGGCAGTGTATGATCAACCTTTCTCAGCAACATCACTTGGGTTGAATTTTCAAATACCAGACAATCTTTGGTAGCAGTAAGCACTTTCAGGTGACATTCAAAGAGCAAGAAGAGCACTGCCGAGCCTCAGTAAGAGAACCTGGGGTGACAAAGATGAATAAAAAAAAATCAAAGGATACAAGGATTTGTGGAAGGCTGGAACTGATAAATGCAATCAGCTTTTTTTGGCACAGAAGGGAAGGAATTTCTGTTTCTTTCTCAGCCTCTAAGTTGCATTCTAGTTTGCCTATCTCTGAACAAACCATAACACAGACCTTTTCAACAGTTCTGCAAGAAGTTTTTCATGTAATTTCTGTACAGGTTTACGTATGTGCCAGACATAACATGACAGCAGAATCTTTGTGCATATTGCTGAGTAAGCAGTACAAAAGCACAGTCAAAGAGCCAAATATTTTCAAGAATAATGCAATTGTCTTTGTCTAAGAAAGGTGAAGACTTGTGTTAATATCAAAGAAGGCTGTATGCTTTGAGGGATGAAGGGAGGGAGAGAAAGAGAATGGGTGAAAAAATATGAGTTAAGCAGGATCTGCAAAAGTCGTAGGAAATGCCACTAAATGTGGAAGCATAAACAATACATTATAAAGTGATTTGTTGCCTGCAAAAGTAATTATAGGGGCAAGGATAGAGGAAAAAAACATAACTATAAGAAAGAGTATGCCCATTCTGTATGTAAACACACATACACACAGAGGAAGAAATGCCAATACCCATATTTTCCATCCTCGGGGTTTTCCAGCATCTGTATGCTCCTCCATTTTTCAATCACTAGCCCAATGATCACAGCTGAGGTGGCTGTGTGGCCAGCACTGAGGGAGAGAAAGGAGGAAACTCTTTTGCCTGTGTGCTCTGCTCTGTGTATTTCTGTAATGATTTTGTCACCTCATCTTCCACCACAGGCAGATGCAGCAAAGAGAAAGAGAAGTGAAAAAACCCCAATAAAGTTCCAGATATCTCTGCTGCCAAGCACATATTTTAGCTGCTTATTCAGCTCTATTATAGTATTTTATGGTTAATGATTAATTTTTCATCTGGGAGCCTGTTTAAACTCCTTCATGGCTATCTATGAATAGGTCTATAGCTAGGTTTTTGTAACAAAAGCAACTATAATTGGTTTTAATAGAAAGTTCTTTTACTACAGACAGACATGTTTGTTTAACCTCTACCTCAGTTCCCTCTTAAAAATTTGACCATCAGTATCACAATAAGAGTTGATTTTTTCCTCAAAATCTATCAGCTATTTAAGTGCCTAAATAGGAATGAAGATTTTCTTAAAGTCTAGTTTCAGCTATGCAGAGCCAAACAATGTCTAGGTTTATTGGAACCAGAGGATCAAGCTTGTGCAATCAAAACCTCAGACTTGCCTTTAGTAATTGAATGTCATGAAAACCTCCTCTAGGCTTGTACTTCATGGAAAAGAAACAGACTTGTGGAGCTTGGGGGAAATAAAATTGTTGTCCAGGTTATACAAGGGTGTTTTGCTTTTCAGAAATTTCTAGTACTACAAGAATTGTTGTTCTTTCAGATTAGGACAAAATTGAAAAAGATAGGCATTTTGCAGATGCCAATATGCTCTAAATTTATTTTTCAAAATTGACTGAAATCTAACATATCATTACTTTAAGAACAGTTGAATATTTGGCTCAATATTTCAAATGAAATTTCAAATGTAATTAAGACCTAAAATGGAAGGGCAAATGCCTATTTGACACTGGAAATTTTGTTTCATATCAGGAACTGGAAAAAAGAGTTATATTTTTGCTTGCAAAGAAAATAAGAGGTATAAAACATTTATAAAAATAGAAAACATGTTTTGCTGAAATAAACAATTTTCTATGTAATATTTTAGCTTCAACAGGTTATATTTTTGGCTAGCAACATTTCCAAACTAATACTATTAGTCTGTAGTGATGGGTACTGATTTCTGACACTTGGATCCTCCACAGTGCTCCCTACATTGAAATATTTTGACAAGTGTCTCCACTGATTGAATATTTATCTTCCATCACAGTAGAGTAATATTTTTTTCTTCATACAAAAATTTGATATATGCAAAACATCTGTTTGAAACACAACCATACTGTTCTGACCCATACTAATTCCTGAACTATGGTTTAAAATTGTATGGAGACTATAAGATTATTAACTGATCTGAACTGACTCAGTGGCCATCAGGAACATGACACATTCAGGTAAGTCCTACAAGGTAACAACATTTCTAGAGAATATTTAATATAATATTGGTTTGAGCCCTTGATATTTTAAAAGCTACAGGATATGAGTGATAAATATCAGGTTCTGAAATTTACTAACTTAAATATTCTGAAAATGTGTTCATAGCCAAATACCTTCATTCCATGTAAGCACTGTAATTTCCTTTGAAACTGTACACAATAACTTGTGTGGACTTTCAACAGTCTCTAAACATAGATCCTTTATTCCATTCCTCCTGACTTGATAATAGCACAAATACATTAACATGGAAAGATTCAGTGACTTTGGCATGATATATTCATACTTGAGACAGTTCCCATATTTATAAATCTATACGAAGAACATACAGACAGCTTGTGACCTTGCTGACAGTTAGGAATAAAAATTCCAGCTAAAATCCTTAATATTCTTACAAAGATCCAAAGAATTCAGTTGCTCTATTTAAAAACTGTTCACCTGCATGGAAGCACATTGAACCAACACACTGCTGCAATTACTGTGAAATACTCTGTAAATACCCAGCCAGTGAGGGTATGTTTATTCCACAGAAGCATGTGAGGCTTACTCATGGCTGGCATTACTTTTTTTACTTTTTTCCTAAAACAGCAACAACTTCATTTTACACAGCTGCCAATGGCCTGAGATATGAGACTTCTCTTTGGAAATTTCTCTTTCAGAAGACTACATGTGTCACAAAACTGATACTCTTCTCCTGAGAGAAGGAGCTGACCTAAGTACTGGTGTTTCTTGCAACTCAGAATCATAGAATCACAAAATGACTTGGGTCTTTTTCTTTATCTAAAAGGATAAAATAGCCAGCCTCTCATTTGCAGCACCTGGATCCTGTCTGAAATCCATTAGGAAGGGTGGTGTCAGCAGTGATGCACCTGGGAAAATCTTCTTGCATTCCATAAGGGATCTTATGGGAACCAGTGAGATGGAAAATGACTGTTCTACATCTGGTATCAGAATTCACAGCACACATTGTCTACAGGACTCCTTACCTGCTTTGTTTTTCCCTTGGGACACCGAACACATTGCATTTCATGTAACAAAATTTAAGCAGCTATGACGATCTTGCCTTTAGTCTTGATTTCCAATTTTCCCCTTCCATTTTTATAGACATAGGGCTGCCCTCTTTCACTAAATCTTTCATCCTGGCACTTCTCCAGCCTCCTTTGTCTCTGGATTCTACCTCCAAGGGCACTGAAGGATCCGAGAACTTTGATTTTCTCTACCCGAGCTGTCACTTCCTGTCTCCTGCCCTCATTGTTTTATCCTGATTTACTCTGTAGCCAGAAAGGAAGACATTAAAGTGCAGCTACACCTATGCTTCATATACCGGTAAAAAACCAAAAATTGGTAAGAGTCTCACAGATTTTCAAAATTTCCAAAGCTTCCCCTAGATTCAGGCAAAACTGTGTCTTCTATGTACTCAAGAAACAGTCTAACCATATTTCCTATGGATAGAGAGGCCAAAATTAAAGAGGTTTAAAAGGATGTATGATGATAGTCATTAGTGTAGTCTATTTGAGGACAAAGGTATTAAAACCATTTTAGTTCACATTTTTATTACACTACAGAGTCTATCAACTCACCAAAATTAAGTGAGATTGTAAATGTTTTCTTATATGCAACACTGGATCATTTTAGAGCCCGAAAAATACCTGCTTCCCACGGTTTACTCATTTATATCCCATTTAGATGTTAGCTTAGGATCATGAAGGGCAGTCAAGAATCCAAAGGTCAAAAGATAAGAGTGATTAAGGAGTACAAGAAGCTGAAGACCAGCTAAATGCTGAGAAGTGAGAGGATAAGAGACAAGAAGAAATCACAGTTTAGAAATGGATTAACAATGAATGTCAGTGCGAAGAAGAAACAGGCAGAGTTCAAACCAGTCATGAAACTCAAAATGCTGGACAAAAAATACAGTGTGCAATCAATGATATTGCTATGCTAATTTAACTTTTATTTTCTTGTCCCTTCATTTTGTTACCTTGACCCATCCTGGCTTGGGGAAGAGAAGGCTGAGGGTGACTTGATAGGAATCTACAGATCACTCAGGGCAGGAATTGGAGGGGCAGGCACTGATCTCTCTGGTGACTAGTGACAGGACGCGAGGAAAGGGAATGAAGCTGCATCAGGGGAGGTTCAGATTGGACATTAGGAAAAGGTCCACTGAGACAGCAGTCGGTCACTAGAACAGGCTTCCCAGGGAAGTGGTTACAGCACTTGGTCATATGGATCAGTTTTAGGTAATCCTGTGAAGTGCAGGGAATTGCACTCAACAATCCTTATGGGTCATTTCCAACTCAAGATATTCTTTGATTCTATGATACATCGGATTCTATTTCCTACCTTTTTCTGAGAGTTTAGTTGTATTTCTCTTTACAAACAATCAAAAGTTCTTTCATTTGCAGATTACAGAGTAGTAACAGAAGTAGTTATCATCTGCATATCAGAATGACGTTTAGAAATTCTATTCTGGTGTCAAATATAACCAAGCACATTAAAATAATTGCTAACTTCCTGAATTAAAATAATAGCATATATTAACTTGCACACTAAGTAAGAATACTAGTGTACACTAGTTGTATA